TGAACTGAAAACACAATTGATCGATTCTACCGATGTTTCTGAATAAGCAATTAAAGGACAAAAAAATACGGTACGAATTCCAACTAACCATGAACTAACAAAGCGATATTGAATACACCATTAAAAAAAAATAAAATAAAAAACATTTTGCCAAGATCAGTGTTGTTTTTTTTTGTTTTTTTTTTTTTTGCTAATGTCAGGCTCAAAATGATCTTATTTTGTTCTTATTTTACACACTTTTCAAATATTGGATTATTATTGCAGTGGCTGATCCGAAGTGGGGAGAAAGGTCGTATTTGACACCCTATCTGTAAAAGTTTTTCTCTGGCATCCCTCTATTTCTATTTGATCCGCCATTGTATTGTACAGCAATAGGCCTAGGCCTATATTACATATACTGCATTATAGAGGGTATATAATCACACCTACAGCATATAAATTACAGATAATTTAAACAGAAAAAAATAAACAGAATTTGACAGTATAACATTCTTACGGTGTATGACTAGTCTTATTTGTTGGATTTTCTATTTGTTTAAAATTATTTTGTTCTTATATTTTAAAGCAATTTCAGTTTGGTGTTTTATTGTGTTAAATGTGTTTTATTTATTTAAAAAAAAGTGTATTAAAAAGCTCAGTAAGTTTATTTATGTATTTTTTTTAAAATTTCGACTCCAATTTCAAACAAGTAACAAATTCGAGGAGGTCAAATTGCATGTGTATGTAGTTTTTACAGAAAATGACAGTGGGCCTATCGTTATATAAAATACAATCGTTCGTTATATCAAATAAAACATATGCCCAGGTCTAAATTTTGGGCTTACAGTCCATAATTAAACTACATGTCCTGCCTTTAATATTAATATACAAGCAAAATACTGGATTACTGGTTGCCCATATAATACTCTGGAGTATAAAATCTCAAGATTATTCCAAAGTAAAATGTTTTCAGAATGTAGACAAGGAAATACATATAATATTACCTTCTGATCGTGCGCAAGTTCTAACGTCAGGAAGGCGATGTTGCTTAATATAGCACCAATGATTAGATGTGTTAGTATTTGAAAGCGCGTTGACTTCCTCAACTCCCTGAAAAGATATACACCAATCGTAAATTTAAAATCACGGCCTGAAAAACATATTTTCTGGGGCATTGAGGTTCCCTATACAATTGTATTATTTAAGAAGACTAAAATGGGGCAGCTGACTCTCAATGAGTTATAGTAAAATTTTGCTTAAGCTGCCCCTGACCAAAATTTTTGTTGTACTGTACCTTTTGTAAATGTGTATTGGTCGAATAAATAGATAAAATGAAAAAAAAATGAAAAAATCACATTCAATGGACAAAACTACAAAAAAATAAATCAATAAATAGAATAACAACAAAGACAACTAACTATGGCCAACTTACGGTAATATATTTTGAATGACTAAGGCTGCTAACAGGAATACAGTTGAAATTATTAATCCAATGTATGTTATCACGCTCATGGCAATTTTATTTGGTTCAGAAATCTGAAAATGGTAAAGAAAAGCAAAATATTCTGTCAGTGCGTATAATGGTAAGCATGCCTTAACACGAATTCACGTTTAAACGTTTGCCTAAGTTTATGTACTGGCTGGTAGAGCTTGTTCATACTGATTATTGGTGATATAAAAAAAAATCACAAAACAAAACAAAAAAAATCAAAAAATAAAAACACTCTAACAATAATGAGAATAATAAACTATGGCCGGTATGGCAACTAATCCCAACTTTTCACTATTAAATCAAACCCTGTCCTTCCTGTCTTGGCAAACGTGTCCGGAATCAAGCTACAACAGTAACCTCACATGACTTGGTTATCGAATTGCCTCTCCCGTTCAAATCTGCCACAAATAGCCTATCACCTCAGTAAATTACTTTGATTAAGAAAAGAATGTACATTAATTATTTTAAAAATAAAATGTTCCAGAGACAATATTTCAAAATTAGCTATGCATCTTCGTGGAATCCTTCTTTTTAATTTTAAGCCAACCAGTACATAGTTGAAATCGGGATTGCTGATTTTTACCACAGAAAAAAAAATCTGGTTATCCTACCTACACATTATGCCCAGTTAATACTATTGTTTAATTCAAACGTTTTTATGTGATTGCTTCTGCGAGTTTTCGTCTGTTCTATGCATTTGTGTTGCTTCATTTGTGTTTACAATATAAGATTTTAAAAATTAAAAAAAAAAGCAAATTCTTCACTCAGATAGGGCATAGATATATCGTATGGCTATTTCAATTATTTGACAATTACATACCGCATCATTATCAGATTCGCTGGTCTGAAAAAGGATCGCGTAGCTGGTTGTATGGTCACAAGTGCATTTGACAAAATATGTCGCACTATTAGTCTCGCATCCTGTTGTTGACCAATAACTGCAAAAATAATATTAATATAGAAAATCATATAAAACAAACATTCTGGAGAGGTGCTTAGTGCTGCTAAGATATTTTATTAAGTACTGCTAAAATATCTTATAAAGTAAACGAACGTTTTCAGTGATCGGCCTTTATCAGGTATATTTATATATCTGTATTATATACGTATAATTCTATCATATAATTCTTTTGATAAACAATTTATATTATAAATATAAAAAATACAAAATATTTTTTTCATAAATATTTATTTAAAAAAAATCATAAATTGAAGAATATTTGTAAGAGATTAATCACATTATTATATATATTATATACAATCCAAACAATAACATTTACGATGATTTAGCGTGCATCTTTAAACTCTATTTTCTCCATAGAACAAAATTATTTTAATATGCTGATATTGAACTGAGAAATTATAAAAAGTCTATTCAATGTATACGTCTAATTTTCAGAATTATCAGATTA